TTCAGCTTTTCAAAATGGAATTTTCCCCCTCTTTGTAAGAGTCATACATTTAATTGAAATTCATTAATTTATTTTTTATTATTTGTGACTTGGCTGGATAAACTCTTTCTAAAACACTGCTGAAATTCTTAATTTGATAAAAGCACACTGTTAGTTATAAATGGTTCAAAGTGGTGATTTAGAATATTGACAAAAACCTTATACTTCATTTGTATTTGCAAACTTTTATAAGAACATCACAAATCTACAAAATTTCAGTTAACCTTAGTTCATATACCTGCACCTATGAGTTTGCTTCTAAAGCCATGAATACATCTGGTAAACAAGGGGTATGGAAACACCAAATATTTCCTCAGAGGACAGTTTAACTTAAAAATAAAATGAGCTCCTCAGATAGTCATCTCAGAGAATCTCAGTGAGACAAATTTAAAATAACTTTTAAGTCTTCAGTTATATTTAACTTTACTAGCTGATACCCATGAAAACATTATCTACCTACTCTTCTCTCTATAATCCAGGATGCATAGGTAAATTATGAACTAATTGTTAATTTCTGTAAAATTAACTCATAACACTAAAACAATTTTTTTTTCTCTACTGAAAAAAGGCCTCTATAAACTGCATGTAGAAGGCTACTGAAGTCTGATTCTTCACTGCTTTCCTTGGTGTAGCTGTTCAAAACCAGTGTAAAGTATGAAATGAGCATGATGACATTTAGTATTCCTTTTGCACTCTCTGCACAGTTGATCCCTCAAGACACAAGGATTTGGATAATTTGGGTAGTAGGAGACAGGGATGAGTTAAAAAGTTATCTTTTTCTCTGAGGAGAGTGAACATAAGGGAGAGCCCATAAGTTAAAAATCAAAGACTTCTTAAGAGAGATTGCTGGTCGATAGCTGCCAAATAGTATCATATATATTCCACATGCATTTTTGGCAGCTGGGTTGTAACTAATTATATAAAGCAAAATGAAAATGAAAATGGAAGGTTAAAAAAATCTTTATCAAACATCAGATAACTCGCTGCTTGAAGGAAAGGTCTATTGATGTGAACATCAACGCTGCTTTCTCCCTGTTCTTCACATCAGGAAAAAATCACAGCCAGTGTCAGGCTAACTGTGATACATCTACCTTTGCAGTCCTCCTCCCTCTCCCTTATGACCACGCCTGTTGTGCAGTACTGGAGCTGAAGGTAATCAGTTTAGCACATGAATAAGATTTGATTATTTTTGTTTTACATAGGCTATAAACCTGTCCAATCTGTTTTAAAAATCCTTTCAGTGTTCAATTCGCTTAGCTTTCACTGAATTGAATTCTCTGACTGAAATATATTAAGTAACTGGGGTTACAACAGGGGAGTAATTTTTATTTTTTCACTTTTAACTGCAAAGCTCTCTTACTTTCTCGGAATAATTTTTCATTAGAAATATGAGGATTTGGTACAGAGTTTCCCCTCAGCACTGTCCCTGAGATTTTTAATCACGTGCCAACCTAATATTACTTCAGTGGATATTATCCTTCTTTGCAGTTTGGTTGTGGTCTCTTTCTGGCTGGCACTGGTGAATAGGTTACAGGCAGCAGCTGCTGGTTTGGCAGCCAGTTCTGTTTAAGGAGATGGTAACTGTAGGGCAATGTATGCACAATAAAACAGGCTAAAATCAACAGGGGATCCCTAAATAAGAGCCTGCTGTATTGAAAAAGAGACAGTCTCTAAATAAACTCTAAGAGGTTTCTAAGCAGCCAGGATGCAAGTGGAAGCTGTCTTCCTTTGGAAGTTTACATAATCATTTAATTTAATCCTTCCTGTGGTGCTTCCCAGTCATTGCTTTAGTTCTTTGATCATAATAAGCCAGGACAAATGTCAGGAAATATGAGTCTACAAAGTGATGTAAATCTTGTTCCCTATCGGAGATGTGACTATGAGCATTATCTTCATGATATTTTCTTTCTCCTGTATTTATTTCTGCTCTGTGTTGTTTTGTTGTGGTGTTTTTTTTTTTTTTGTTGTTTTGTTTTGGTTTGGTTTTTTTTTCCCAGTCTGTGATGATAGAAAAAAGCAATGGCTTTCAAGCTAGAAAACAAAGTGTTCTACTATTCCAACCCTGGTTAAGTGAGTACTTTATCTTGCATTTCAAGGTGAAGAAAAGCCATATTAGCCTGGATATTATCTATAAGGTATGCTATAGTGTGGTATTTGTAATAAACCATGGCTTTTTCCATTCATACTGGTTTGCACTTGCTTCAGCTCCATCATCCGTATGTGGGATGAGACCTACTTCTATGTTTCTGTCCCATAGCAGTCAAATATTATCAGTCAAATATGGCCATTTCTTGCCTTTTAGTATATTTATGACCTTATAGGATTTATGAATTAGACTGAATAAAAAAAAAAGTAAGTCTTGAAAATTATACATTTATGTCAACAAATACACAGAAATTAGCATCAAATAAAACTTGGACATAAGCACTTTTTTGTTATTTTTGCTGTTTCATTTACTAATTTAAAAATAAAAATAAAAAAGAGGAGGAAACTAAGAAGCATTCTATCACTGTGGTAGCATATATTTTATATCCATTTGGCATTTCATGTGATTACATAGCACAGCTGAGGTCATTACACTACAGGGAAAATAATGGTGGAATGTAAAAGACAGTGAACCAAAGAAGAAAATATTTTGTTACTGTTAATATTTTGGTGTCTATTAAGGATTTTTTCTTTTGTCACTGAAGTCCTATCCTGTTTTTAATTAATGTTGCATTGCTCTTTTTAATAACAGGACCCATTTAAGATATTGTTAATAACAACATCTATTTAAGACAGTACGTCTCTAGGATTAATTTAATGGAAGCATTCCAATGGCATCTATTATATGTTCCCAGTTAAATTAGCATGATGGTCTTTTAATGGATGTTTTAATATACATTATTAACCAGAATATTATAAAATTAAAATGGAACTCAATGGCTTCTTTGAGTTCCTGTTGTAATGTTCTGTGAAGTCACTGATTCTGAAAAATAACAGCATATATATTTTTAATTTAATTCAATGGCATTTGGAAAGAGCTAAAACATGAACATGCATTTATATGGCAGGAGTAAAGATAAATATTTACTGAATTAAGAAGTGGCTAATCTAAAAACTATCTTACATTTTGATCCTGTGGGTCAAACTCTTTAAGAAGGGGTTCTTTATAAATATCTGTGCACCAACAGCCATCGTGCTTTTTCTTCCCCGCTGATGCGTGTGATGTGTTGAATTTCCTGCTGAAACCAGCTCTGAAAATAATTGGGAGCCCATTTCTTCAGAGAAAGACACATTCTTTTTATAAACTAGCATTCCCCATATTTTTTTTAAAAAAACCCCTAATTTTCTCTTGTTAGTTTGTGAAACTACACAGTGGGTATGCATAGTAAGTCTCAATTCCAGCTGGGCTTCTTCTACACCAGATTCAAACTGCAAAGTATTGTAAAACTCAGTAGATCACAGATCAGCCTATTAAGCTCTTATTTTGGTCAGCAAACACTTAGTACACAGGCAGCAGAAGTTGAACTTTCTCCTTATTGATTTTCTATTTGTGAGGCACATTCCTAAAAGTACATATTTTAACCATGGAAAACATTACTGTTCTCATCAATGAAGAAGGCTGTTGGCCATCATCATTTCATTTCAGCAGCAGTTATGATTAATGTCCATTTTCTCTTCTGATCTTCATTCTGATGTGGGAATGTGGGAGAGAAAACACCTGTCATACATTTAAAAACCTCAGATAAAAGTGGCTTGTATCACCAGTCAGGTGACATTTTTAATATGTCATTATCTCTTGCATTTGGGTGGACATTTTTCTGGAACTCTGTGAGTTTCTGAGTGCTATATAACCAACTGTCTCCACGAAGCATTGTGTAACATTTCAGGGTTAGCTTAAAACTTTTCTTTCAGCTTGTCATGGTTTGAGCCTGATCAGCAGCCAACCACCACGCAGCCACTCTCTCCCTTCTCTTCTGGCAATAAGAAGGGACAGAGAGCCAGGCTTGGGGTTCGAGATAGGACTCGGATGGGGAAAAATTCCCCTTTATGGTCATGAGCAAAAGGCAGACTCGTTAGGGGAAGAAAAAAAAAAGAACATACATTTATTACAGACACTAACACTTAACAGAGTAGGACAGTGAGAAGCTTTGCCACATCTTGAGAACACTTTCCCCCCACCCCTCAGTGGGGCTTCTTCCTGGGCTCAGATCTGTTCCTGATATCTCTACCTCCTCCCCCCAGCAGCGCAGGGGCAGGGAATGGGGGGTGCAGTCAGTGCTGCTGCTTCTTCCATCTTCAGTGGGGGGAGCTTATGGAACTTGTTCCCCCTGCTCCATTGTGATCCCCCTCTCACAGGAGACAGTCCTCCACAAACGTTCTCCGACTTGAATTCCTCCCACGGTCCACATTCCCCACACTGTTCTGTCGTGGGTCACCAACTTTCTCCGACTGGATTCCCTCCCACGGCTGCAGCCCCTCCCGAGCTGCTCTGGCGTGGGACTCCCCCGCATGCTGCAATCCTCCCAGCACTGAATTATAGCAGCGGGGCTGCCTTTTCCCACAAGACCCCGGCCTTCTTCAGGCACAGCACCTTGATCAATCAGGTGAAAAACACAGGCCATAAATCAATGTCTGCTCCACCATAGATCTTCATGGGTGGCAGGGGAGGACCTTGCTGCCGTCTCACCACAGGATACAGGGGGGTCTCTGCTCCGGCACACCTCCCCCCTCCTTTCTTTCTCCATTCCTCCACTGACCTTGGTGTTCACGCAGCTGCAGCAACTCCTCCTGACAAGTCCCACTGCTCGTCACCACGTCCCTTCTTAAATATGTTATCACAGAGGCGCAGCTGATTGGCTCAGTTTTGGTGCAGAGATGGAGCTGACTTGGAGCTGGGGGAGCTTTGAGAAGCTTCTCACATGGGGCCACCCCTATAGCCCCCTCCCCTGCCACCAAAAAAACCTCACCACTCACTCAACCCAGGACACGGCTAAATTACTTGAATCACCAGCATTTTATCTGAAATCCTAATGGTCTTATTTGCATACAAATCTGTCATTCCACACAAAGGACAAAGCTGGCAGACCTAATATGAATTTCCCATTGGACTTGTTTGAGAGTATGAATCCAGCCTTCACTGAAGAAAGACTAAGCAAATTCCTTCCCATTTCCCAGAAAGATTTGTCAGAAAGTGCAAATGAAAATCTCTACTTTCCACATAGCTCTCTTGCTACCTGCCTATATCCATCTGGCACGTTGTGATAAGGTCATGCCCATATATGAACAAATGGTGTTTGCAGGTTGATCTGTGTGCTTTTAGAAAATACATGCACTAAGTAAACAAGCAACAAAATGATGGTGTTATAGCCTGGAAGTGGCAAACCAAACATATACATCGAGAAGACAAAGGGTTTTGTTGTGCATTTTAAACAGCCAACCTTTTAAAGGTATATCGTAAACTAATGTGACTAAAATAATTCTTTGATAAGTGGGAGGCACATTTTTCCTATAACAGTGAACTTTACACTGCATTCTCTAATGTTGTGCAGAGAAGCTTTTGTTGAAAGAACCTGCCAGGAGGTTCTTTCAAGCAAAGAAGATGCTTTTATTTATAATCTCCAAAATTCCCAAAATGCAGTGGGGTACAAACACACTTGAAAGCAGACTTTATAATAATATGGGAAAAAGATGCGAATGCCTGCTGTGCTGAGCTGGTTTGATTATACCATAAAGCTCTTAAAAACAGAGTTTAACATGTCTTTTGGGAGAAAATGGAAAGTTAAAATAGGCCTTCATAATAGCCCTATATGAGATAGGAAGAAGTTGGTTACCACACATGCCAGTTTGACTGTACTTTTTTTTTAGTTTGGATGAAAATAGCTCACACTTGTAAATCCTGGGAGAGAATTAAGTAAATACAAGAGTTCAATATTTCAAATAGATGACAAACTTCTAAATTTCCATTTATCAGCCTTTCCCCTTAAGGAAAGAAAAACTGCTTCAGGCAAGTTCTGCTCTCTGTGTTACCTGGGGACAAGTCCCTCCACTTTCCAGCCTTGGACGTGTGAATGGAGGGTAGGGCTGTGATTAAGGTAAGCGTCAAAGGGGAGTGGGGAGCCCGCATCTCCCCAGTTCCCTCTTCATATTTCCTGGCTCTATATCTGGGACCTGACAGAACATCTTTGCAGTGCCAGGGTGAGTGACGGCCCAGAGCTTCACAGAAGTGCCAGCTGGAATATAAAAATCCTGTTTAGCAAGGCATTTGATGTTATTCACTTACTAGAAAGGAATAGGTCTATTGAAACTGAGAGTCTGCTCCTGGAACTGCCACATGGCTTAGGACAGGCAGAGGAACATGGTGGGGCCGGGTACAAGTGCTTCCTCTGCACAGCATGGAAGAAGATGAATCCCTCCCATTCAAGATTTGTTTAAATGAAAAATGTTTGTTGGATAAGGGAGGCTGACTTCTTGGCTTGCTGAGCAGGACACTTGCCTGAAATGCAGATGACCCAGCTCCAATTTCCAGTTCCAGTTCCAAATTGGATGGAACAGGGACTTGAACTTTCAGCCTCAATTCCCAAGTGAGTGCCACTAACTTAAAACCTAGAAGCTAGAAGAGCTCCCAGGATTTTTTAATTTTAGTTTTGTTACAGGGATTCCAAAATGGAGCCCATAATTGCTTTCAGCTGTAGTTTCATTGAAACAAATACGTTCCCATAGAATTTGATTTAAAACAGATTGGCATTTTCTGCCAACAGCAATGAATCAAGAATATTTTGGGGAGCTACACTAGTGAAAGATTATTTAAAAGAAGACAAATGGGAAGGGTAAAAGAAGAGAATGGCAGGGGATCAGAGAAAAAGGTAGATAAGCCAAAATAAAGTCCTATTTGGAAGGGAAACAAAAACTTGTCTTCCCTTTTAAAAATATCTCCAAAGCATGCCTGGTTGGATGTCTGTCCTGCTTACAGTTACAAGGCCAATAGACTTTCTGCTCATGAGTGACCATCAGATCAGAGAAGGAGCTGTTTATTAATTCACTGAGTTATCAAAGACAGTTTTCGATCCAGAAAGCTGCATTTATAGCTGGAAAACTGTCAGAGCCCAGTTTAGGATCAAGACGCTTGATGCCTATTGTAGCCAGGAAAGATTTCTCGTCTGTCTTTTTCCTCACCTTTTTCCTTTTACACTTTCTGAAGTAAAGTTTATTTATATAAGCACCCTTTTGTTTTCTATACTGCCTGCAGGCAAAGCAGGATTCTTTTTTATTGCACTGACATAGTTTTGTCCAGAAGTTTCAAAATCTTTCATCAAGGAGACAAACCTCCTGCTTTGTTCCTTTGAGCATATGTGCGTTTGTTTCCCTCAGAATAACAGATTTAATCTTTTGACCAAATCACCTGATTTGAGAGAAGAAATCTGCATTCCAGGAGTCTCCAATCTAAAGAGGTTAAATTTGTTAACCATGAGGTAATATAATTCAGTTAGAGTGAAGGAGGACAATACCAAAAGATATTACAGCTTTTTTCATCTTTCCCACTTAATTCAAACACAAAATAGTCTAAATGTCTACACTTGCCTGTCTTTCAGCTCCAAGACCTCATGGGTTTGGTGTCAAACTGGCTTCTTGTAAAGTCTGCAGGACTGGAGCCATGTCCCACTTCAACTGCAAACAGTGACATGATCTAAATGACCATCGTAGAACAAGTGTGAGGGATTCTTTTATCACCAGGAGATGGTCAGGGTCTAGTTCAACTCCCAGATAACTTGTGGCAAAGTGAAACAATTGCATAGGAATCACAAGGGCCAAGAGGTTAAGAGCCATTACAGATATATGCCAACTCAAGGATATGAAAACACCTGTGGTCTTGTCAATTGTTTTTTTTCCAGATCCTGTGCAGACTCCTTTGGAGTGTATGAATTCTAAACCCAATTAACATGATGATAACCCAAACAGTTCGAGGCATAAGAACAGGTCACTGAACTGGTAAAAAAACCCTTAAACCAGGAAAAGCTCTGGAGATCTAAACCACCAGAAAGCAGACACATTTACTGAGATGTAACAGAAAAGGTATAGAAGAAAATTTTACATGAAAGCAGTTGACAGAAACATAAAAATGTGCAACTGAGTTGGAAAATTTATCCTTTCATATAGAGCAATCTCACCAGTTCAGCATATGATAGAATGTGTGGCAGGTTCATGCCAAACTACTAAATTGCACAAAGAAGCTGCTGCACCTAAGCAAATTCAGTGCATGTTAGTGAGATGATGATGTTACTATACCGGATAAGGTTTCACCTGGCAAGGCTTCCTAGGAAATTTCCAGAATATACATAGTCATCCTGATGATTATCAGATGAAATGCTCTTACTTGGTTTTAGACAGGAATTAAATCTGAGGTACTTGTTCTGTATTGTTAGTTTTACCTGTACAGCCAAGTATTTTGGGAAGAGTGAAAATCTGATTGTTCAAGGAAGATGCTATTATTGCTACTATTTTCTACCGGTCCCCTCCTTTGTTTAGAAGCTGCTGTAGCTTTTATTAAGGGTCTTAGAATACTGGCTGTTCAGTGTTTACCTTAAAATAATGAGTATGACAGCAGGAAAAGGTATTCTGTGTCTTTGGAGCAGTCATATAAGGTCAAATGACTTTTTATTCATCTTTCCTTTCCTTTCTGATAATGACTTGTTAATAGTTCAGTAAGTGTAAATATCTGTGTATTGGCATTGTGAGTGGATTGCAGAGGATCTGAGGATCTTCAGTATTGCCAGCTGAAACTCTTCAAACGGAAGATATCAAACCCTAAATCCCAAAAGACTGGCATGAAAATTAAATTTTTAAAAATATATGAATTTGTGGATCATACTTGCTCCTGTGTATTTGACACTTGGGTGCTGTTTTTTTTCAAGCTTTACTGCATCGTATTTTTAAGCTAGTCACAAATGTAAAACAATTGAAAAATAAATCTGAAATGTTCATGAAATCCTGAGGCTCAGAGTAAAGCTGGGAAGAGTGCTCAATGCCAAGAGAAACTGAGTTGACTGAAGTATAATTTTTATTTCCATTTGGTATTTTACTACGGGTAAATTACAGTACCAATGTATACCCTTTTTTAAAAACTAGGCATTTGAAACATAACAAATAAATGACATGTGGTATATTAATTTTAATTTGGAATGTAGTTTAAACTGCAGTTAAAATGTAGTTTAAACTTCCATCATTCCACATAACCTGTTTACAAAACATCTTGTTTTCTGCAATGACAATATGCATGTTTTGTGGGGACCATCATTATTAAACCGTCTTAAAATTTTGACTGTGAAAAAGAGAGCATCTGAATTTTGTAAATATATATCCAATTACCTAAACCCCAACTACATTACATATATTCTGCTGTTTCATCTTCTAAACTGAAAGAGAAAGATCTGCTTTAAAAGATAAGCAGACTGACTTTCAAACTACAAGCTATGAATTATTGAAAAACAAAAATGGCAGAAAAGAAGGCTGAAATCATGGTTGGAATCAAAGAGAGGGATATGCAGAACAAACATCAGAAATATATGGATGCCAATGAAAAACAATTATGTTCTAGTGATATGACTGGCATTTTAATAACAGAAAACATCCAAGAGTATATGAGCAGGATGTTATGTGGTTCTACCCCAACCTAGGAGCAACTGACAGCTGCAAATTACTTTTTAAAATTTAAATCTTTTCTGATTGATATTCATGTTATATCTGTTATGGCAGAATGTGATTGAGGAGGGCACAGCCCTGATGTGAATGTGATCTCTAAGCCTCTTACCCAAGACACTGGGTGATGGAGTGGGGTTAGGCTTACTCTCCCAAGCCCAGAAGCAGCAGGACAGGGTATCACCTGGAGCCCTGCCTACACCTTACAAACCCAATCTCGACAAAACTGTGTTAGTCAGGGCATCCTGGCACAGACATAGCTGTAGGATGGAAACCTGAATCTACAGTGTCTTCAGTGCCCTCCTCCACTTCCCTACCATCTTGTATTTCCAGTGCAGTTCCACTGCGGATCTGCCAGTTTCCACTCAGCTATCTTTCTTCAATTAATTAGAGATTGAGCATCAATAAGAACACTGTGGATCTCTATTCTCAGGCAAATTTGACCCTGTGTAAAACTGTGGTGCTGTTTCCCACGTTGATCTCTCTTTAAGCACACAGCTCCTCTGTGTTTGGAACAGAGGTTCCAGCTCTTCCTTAGTTTTAACAGCAAACTGGTTCTGCCAAGATAACAGTCAACCTGAATCCCTGAGATGTGAAAACAAGTGAAACCATTTTTAGAAACACACACCTCTCTGCTGCTACAAGTAGTGGTTTTGTCCCTATCTACATTTGAGCTTCTTTGGATTTTAAGAAAAAGAAGTAAATTTGCTTTAAAGCAAAATTTATTCTATTTTTAATATAAGCCTTAGTTTAAAGCTGAATGATGAGTTAACATGTACCTGTCAAGGGGATACCAAAAAATATAAAGGTCATTTCTAGAAAGGATCCTGAGATTCAGCAGTTTCTGAGTAGACATTAAAGGCTGGCATTCAATTAGGTTGCTAGAATAGGATGTTCAAGTGAAGGGTCAGTATTTTTGGGGTCGTCAATGCCATCAAGTGAATGTATAAAGAACCAGAAGCCAATTAAAGCATTTAACTAAATGTTTGAATTTGAGAAGTTAGGATAGTCAAAGATCAAACTAGCTTCACATTCCTGGATCAGTTCTAATTGGAGAAGTGCAGGTTCTGTTAAACTTGCCTTGAGACCATTAAAATGTCCAAATGGAAAACAATAAGGACATGTCCCAAAACTGTCAGTCATCTTGTAAGCAATGGATTTTTGAGGAGTTTAGTAATGGAATATTTAGCCTAAATAATGCAATCTGTATAGAGTGAGTTGCATACAGCAAGTCTAGTTCAAATGTAATTTAAATATTACGTGCAGTGTTAGGGAAGGAAAATGGAGTAGGATCTTTTGAGAACTAGGAGTAAAATGATCCAGTTAAATACAAACAAGACATGGAAATAAATAAATAAAAAAATAAGTAAAAACACAAACAAACCCCCTGTACTCCCACAGCTGAACTAATCTCTCACATTACGAAGGACAAAAGCCAGAAAATATCTGAATTACCTTAATTTAAATGATAACGCTCACATTAACATACCAGTTAAAAATAGATATAGGTTCAGTTATGAAGAAGTGGAAAAACAAC